ATACAGGGTGTATCAACAAAAGTAAGACAATTTTGAAATTGCTCTCAATTCCACAATTCTGTTCATGAAATGTAATTTTTGCTATATATGGATTGCTTGAGTTCTTAAATTATGGAAAATATAAAAAATTTTGAAAATAGTAAATTTTGCAATCCAGGTGGGTGGTCAACTTTTGCTCCCCTAAAAGTGGCTTGCGCACGGAAATGACAAACGAAATTCTTTATTTGAGTTCATGTATGAAAAGTTCGCTATTTGTTGCCTTACCCATGATAAAATTTCGGCAGGATTTTACCAAGGACAATTCCTCCAAAAAGCCTATGAAAACGTTACATTTTTCTCCGTTGGTTCTGGTCTTCCTTCATTATGAATTCATTTTTACTCCCATGAGTGTTCCATGGAATTTCCATGGAATTTGTGCTTTCGAGTTGTTTGTGTTGAAACGCATTTTCTCGTATAATACCCCGTACACTTTGACACAGTATAGGGAGACAACCAGTAGGGCCACGTAGGGGAGAGAAAAGTGGCAATTATTTAAGCTAGGTTCCAGGTGTCTTACGCGGCCAAAATCATTATTCTGTAGTACAATTTTATAGTGGACTGCTGCCGTTTACTGGCTGCCAATAAGTAAATTAGGTTGGCAGCCAGTAAACAATGTAGACACTTTTTTACGCTGAGTGGCCCTACTGTACTTTTCCTATACTGTGACTTTGAAATGGCGATGCCACAATTTATCCCGCAGCAGAGAGCTTTTATGGTATCAGAGTTCCTCCGTAGCAACAACATAAACGAGATGTACGATGCCCTTCACGTATTCGCACGTGAAGCAGGGATTGGTAGCGAGACTTATCCAATTTAAGTGCACGAAATATTTTCGTGACGACTAACGCTTGTCTTAGAGGACGCGAAGGTGCGAGTTCAAATCTCGCTCGAGCCAACGAATTTTTCGTTGGTCGATTGCAGTGTCAGATTAATATGAAACTAGTTTTATGTATCTCAAAGTTACGCTGATTGTACATCTACGTGGCTTGATCAGATTTCCTGAATGTATTTTGTTGTTCAAGTACATTAGTACACACCATAATAAATCAGTGTTATACCTCTCTCTATCTACTCGTGAATGTTAATTCAACCAGTCTCTTAGGCCTGTTTCAAACGTTGCGCTTCTCATGTGCCGAACGCATTATAAAGAAACAATACATAATGACGCATATCAGCTGATTATCTATTGTTTTTAATGCGTTCGGCACATGAGAAGCGCGACGTTTGAAACAGGCCTAACCCCCGGATATACCTGTGCACATGTCAAACTGATCTATTTAAAATGTCTTAATGGGTTGCATCACCAATTGCCTTATATATATTGCACTGACACTTAAAGCTGGAGTAATACGGGCAACAAAATTGCTGCAACTTGCAACAAAATCTGATTTCTACGCATATTAATTAAGTAGAAGTGTTTGCACATAAATTACAAATCATGAGGCAACATGTGTCGACATTTCTACTTAACATGCGTTGAAATCAGATTTTGTTGCAAGTTGCAGTAATTTTGTTGCTCGTATTAGACCCCGTTTACACGGTACCGGACGAATTCGGAACCGGACTAAAATTCGTCCGTTTCGCCTGTGTAAACCGGACGAATTGAGATCCCTTCACAGGACGAATTCGCGTGTAAACAGGCGAAAAACGACGAATTTCATACCTGTCCAAAATTCGTCCGGTACCGTGTAAACGGGGTCTTACTCCACCTTTGTGAAAACCCGGAATGCCAGAATATCACGGAATATGCCAGAATATCACGGTATATGTCGGAATATCATGACATTTTCCAGGAATATACCGGAACATCACGATATTTTCCGATTGTAGCCGCGCGACAGTTTATAAACATGGACATCTGACAACATATTTTATTACAGAAGTGATGGTATTTTTTGACGGTATGTAATAAACAATCTATACTGGAAGTTTTATATGTTGTTTATATCATTATTACGAGTGTCCACCAAAATTTTTGAATCAATATGATTAATTCCTCCTGAGTTACAGCGACTTGAAAAATAAAAGTGCTGACGTCAGCATTATTTTCGAGCGCCTTCAGAAACAGCGTTATACACAAAATTTAGTTTAAAATTCTACCTGATATAAACAAGAATTTAAACATCCTGGCTCAAATTAGCCTCTTTTTTAGCACTGTCCATTGATTTTCGGATAAGTGCTTGGTGCTATAAATTAAAATTGGCCATTTTATACCACCAAGCATTTATCCAAAAAGCAAATGCTGAAATGAAGTCAAGTTTGAGGCAAGTTTGATTCTTGTTTTTATCAGGTAAGAAATCCCAGACGTCTTAACCTTAACCAAGAATTTTTAACTAAAATTTGTGTATAACACAGTTCTGAAGGCGTTCGAAAATAATACTGACGTCACTTTTATTTTTCAAGACGCTGTAACTCAGGAGGAATTAATCAGATTGATTCAAAAATTTTGGTGAACACTCGTAATAATGATATAAACAACATATAAAACTTCCAGTATAGATTGTTTATTACTTACCGTCAAAATGGGAAAGATCCATCACTTTTGTTAACTCTAATAAAATATGTTGTCAGACGTCCATGTTTATAAACAGTCGCGTGGCTACCATTGGAAAATATCGTGATGTTCCGGTATATTCTTAGAAAATGTCGTGATATTCCGGCATATTCCGTGATATTCTGGCATATTCGCGATATTCCGCCATATTCCGTGATATTCCGCCATTCCGGGTTTTCACAACGCCAGCCAAGTATCTAGCATCATAGAATCAAATCTGCAAGTCTTTTCACAAAACTGCTGAAATTCAAAATGTTGAGTAGTGAAAGTTTAATTAATGGCCAATATATGAACAAACTACGAGTAGGGATTCGAGTTCTGAGTTTAATAAAAAATACAAAATATCACTTTTTTCTAAATTGTATGGTTATTTATTTATTTATTTATTTAGCTTCGCCTTGACAAAAAACGTACACAATACAAGTACAACAATTCATCAGTATACATGAGACATGAAAAGAGGCGGCGACACCACAACAGTTTATAGCAATTACTGTGGGCCTTTTAGTTAAAATTAGTGACAAATTACAGACGAAAAAAAATCAACTACTTAGTCTAGTAGCAACAGGGATCGGCATCGATAAGATTGCGCGATGTGTTGCACTTCAGGCAAACAGTTTTCCAGGTTCGAGCATCATCCACGTCGTAACAAGATACAAGAGCATTATGATAGTATTCTAATAGTGACTTTTAAATAACGTTAGAGATAAATGATTTATTTATTTATTTATTTAATTTACCCAAAAACAGGAAGGGCGCACCCACAAAGCCGAAGCTCCAATAACGGGTTCCCCGCGTGAGTTGTAAAATACATAGAAATATTGTATACA